TTGGCGAGAAAGTTTATCAATGTAATATATTTATATTTTAGTTTTTAGTTTGTTCTTGGACCTACAAAAACATTGCTATTTAAATATATTTATTAAATATTTGAATTTTAAATAAATAATTTTAAAACAAAAATAAAACGATAAATTAAAATTATTCAGCTGTAAAAAGATTTATTAATATTTAAAGACTTATTTTTTAAATGACCTTTGCATTTGTTTGTGACAATTTTTAAAACAAAAAGAATATAAAATTTTCATTTTTTTTGTTATAAAATTTAAGAGGTTTTAAAAAAAGAAAATGAGAAGTTAGTTAAAACAACTTCTCATAAAAAATAAAAGACTCTTTCCTTTTGCGATGACTCATTCATGATAAAATTTTTAAAAATAATTAAAATAAAATAAAAAGATTGAATTTTAAAGTTGTATCAAGTATTAATGATGAATCTCTAAATATTAGTCATGCTTCAGATGAATATTTAGATCTGACCATGGAATCTTAATACAGTCTTTTGGATTCTAATTCATTGGCTTTTAAACCAATGATTCCACTTTCTTCACCAAACTTCATGCTTTTAGCACCTGAGTTTGGGATGTAGGCTATTCTTCCATCAAATATTATAAACAACTTTTGAATAAGTACCATGGAAGATACCTTGCTCCTTTCTTCCGTGATATTTACAGCAAATACAAATTTAGATATTGATACTCATATTTCTATTAGTCCAGAATTGTTAGTCTTGAAAGACTTTCTTTTGCTTTATGCCTCAACCTGGTAGAAATACCGTGATTCATTCCAGAGTATGAGTCTAGGATGAGTAATGACATTACAAAAAAATCTTGTTCTTAGTAGAGTCTTTGATTTCATTGTCTTGGATTAAATCTTTTAACTTTGAAATTTGACAAGCATATATTCAGATCGTGTTTGCTATTAGAAATTGACATAAAATAGTTTTCAACATTGTCATAGTACTGCTAGAAACAGAAGACAAAATGAAAAGTTTCTCATAGAATTGTCCTTTAACATATATTATATAATCACCGTCAATTTCCATATGAGCAATGGAGTCACTTACGATACTATCTTGAGATGCGGACTCCATATTATCAATATTTAAGCAAGATAGATTGGAAGTTCTCTCTTTCTCTTTAATAATTGATTTTATTTCTAGATTCAGATTGGTTATTCAGAAGAAGTAATGACCAGAAATTCCCGATTACTTTCTTCATCAGATTTAGAATTCTCAACTATGTCAGCTTCATTAGAATAAACTTTGAAGATCTCTAACATTTTTCTTTTTGGGTTTTTCTGGTAGTATTTCTCCTCTTTCTTAAGATTTGGGAAATCAATTGAAATAAAATTATTTCAGAAGCTTCTGAAGTTACTCTTCTATCAACAGATATCACATTCCATTCAGCTAGTTGAAAGGGTCTTTTGATAGAGAAGGTCAATTCTTGATCATCAAACATTCCAAAGGAATTTTCTTCAACAGGATTGAGGAAGGGTAGTCTGTTTGATACCTTTTCATCATCTAATTCCATTTCTTTTCTTCGAAGAATGCTATCAAAACCTTCAAGACTTAGTCTACTCAAACTTTTGACTTCTTGAGTAGATGTGACTTTATGTTTTAACACTAGCAAGCAGACTTCTTAGAATTTTCTTAAAAAATTAGATGAAGTGTAACTTAATAAGCTTCTCCCTGATTCCCTTCAAATTAGAACACAAGGATTCAAAGATAGTCTTGAGCATTAGACATATCAATGAGGTTGATGTACTCAGAATGAGATAGAGCACCTACCAGAATGCATCTAACTCTAAAGATATTTAAATAAACATTTTCTGAGCTGGTGTGAGAGACTTTCAGACTTTGATTATCCCTACACCATCAACTTCTATAGTAGTACCTTCGTCAAAGGTATTCTATCGACCTTCATCAAAACCCTTTATTAAGACTAATGAACTAAAAATATATTTTGCGTTATCCATCATTTAAATTTAGTGGAGTCACCCTTTGAATATGGTAGGATTAATAATGTAATATTTTTTATGTGGTACTTAACTCTTTCTTGAAGGAAAGTTTTTAACACACATTTTTTCTCATTGGATCATTATCTGCACTACTGTTAAGTGTTATGCACAGACCAGTCTCTAATACCAACTGAAGGTGAGAAACATACACAAGAAGGGGGGTTAAATCATGTTTTAGGTTTCTTAATTGTGTCTCTGATCAAATTTCAGAATCTAAACTGATGTTCAGATTCTGATTAATACGTTGTAGTGGAATGTTAACATAAGCAAATAAAAGATAAAGAACACACAGATTTATCCTGGTTTCTCCCAATTGAGAGTATTCTAGTCCTCTTGCAGCACAAGAGATTTTTCACTATAGTTAAATATGATTACAATTGCTAATGCACTTAAGCATAAGACTTTTCTTTGATCAGACCTTCAACGCGAGACTTCCTGCTTAAACCCATCAGGTCCAAGACATCTTCTTAGATTCCATGAATCCAAGACTTCCTTGCTCAAGCCTCTCAGGCTCAAGACTTCTTGCTTAAACCCCTCAGGTTCAAGACTTCCTGCTTAGGTTCCACGAACCCAAGGCATCTGCTCAAGCCCTTCAGGCCCAATACTTCCTTGCTTAAGTTCCACGAACTCAAGACTTCTGCTCTGACTCACAGTCCAAGACTTCCTTGCTTAGGTTCCAAAAACCCAAGACTTCTGCTCATACTCTAAAGTACAAGACTTCTGCTCATAATCTCTGTCTATGACTTTATGCTCAATCAACAATTGATAAAGACTTTTAATGCTCTAGCATATAGAAGGAGACTTACTTGGCTTAAGTTTCTCAGCAAGAGACTTTGATGCTCAAGCACATAGTAAGAGACTTTATCTAAACTACTAAATAACATGTTTAGCATAATAGAGAACAAGGTGTACTTGATACAAAATCAGAGGTATAGGGTAATCATCATAACAAAGACCTTAAACACTTAATATTTCTAAGATATTCAATATTTAAGAAATCTTAAGGCTCTGTACAATTTACAACATATAACAGAATTTCTGCATACTTGATTGTGTTGCTTATTGTTAATCTTGTTATTCCTTCATTCAGATAGAACTGTAAAACACTCTTATCCTTCTTGACTTTCCTTCTCTATTTGCTCCTTGTTCGTTATTGAAGATTTAGTTTGAATCTTCAACAACTTATATAGTAGTTATAAAAGACTAACCGTTGAAAGAGACAACTTGAATAAGTGTCTTTGTTTTTCCATACTACAAGAAATGTTGAAGATAGATACACCAAAAGATCTTAATCTATTGTGTAACCTGTTTAACCATTGCGACTTCCATGTAATCTTGTACTATAGATCTGGTGAGAGTAAATATCTGTAAAAACATGTCAACTTTTCTTGAGCCTTGCAAACATAGACTCTAGCTGACAAACTAATTTGACAATGCAGCTTGTTTTCTGCAGTACGGATAACTTAAACTTTATTACTAACTCTGAATGTTCACCAGAAGCTGATACATTAACTTAGTGTAGAGACAACATGTTTCTCTTCTGATGCTGAGACCTTCAACTTTAGAGTCTACGTCAGACATCAGTTAGAGGGTTTTCATCATATTGTGATTCACCAGAAGCTAGTAACTCAGCTCCTCTAGAATGCGTCCTTATATCAGATTCTGAATGCATTCTTTTTAAGCTTTAGAACCTGAATACTTTGAACACACATTAGATAACGCCATTGTTCTTTCAATACTTTGTTATCATCAAAATCCAAGGGATATATGTCATGAACAAATCTTGTTCTAACATTTACTTTACTATTATTTACATATTATTATCCAGTTACTGTTACTTCTATATTATTATTATATTCAATAAATTTAGTATAGAATTTAACAACTGTAACATTTACATAACTGATATGTCCGACTAATTTATCAGAGCCCAGAGTGTGAGGATCGTTGTTTTGATAGTGCTCTTATTTAAGTCGTAAATTAAATAATTAAAAAGGGATTTGTTTAAGGATTGATTTTTAAACTGTTTTTAATTAAAATAGTTACTGCGAAAGCGTAACTTAGAGATGCCGATTTAGTTTCGAAAGAAAGGAACCTGTATCTGACTTAGGTTAAAATTCAGATTTTAAATTAATTGAAATGCGAAAGAAATAGTTTCTTTAAATTGTAAAAATAAATGTCTTAAAAAATAGATTTTAAGATTATAAACAGACACACAAAAATGGAAGTTTATTAACTTAAAATTCGGCGTTACACGAGCGAAAGTCTATAACATCTTTAAATTTATTTTTCACCTTAAACAATTTTTTAATTAATCATACGTATAATTTAAGAAAAAAAGTTTTACACTCTAACATGCTGAACATGCAAAAGCAATAATATAACTTTTAAACTAAAGTTTGATTTTGACTGCACAAAAGCGAATGGTTAAAAAATTAAGTTTAGTGTGCTATAGATATATTGAAATACATAATTAACTTTATTATGATGAATTTTTATTATATAAATCTTACATTTATATAGTTTTGGAGAAAATACTAGCTTTTTAAATTTTGTGGAATTTTATCCATATGAGATAGACTTTATGTCGATTTTCCGTGCAAATAAATGAGAGTGAACAAAATTAATTAAATTTAAAATTTAATTAAAAAATTTAATTATTTTAAAAATAAAATCTAAATAGACATTAATTATTGGCGACTACGTTTATCAATGTAAAATGTTGTTAAAGAAAAATAAAGCATAAGTGTCACAATTTCCAGATAAATAGTGTAAAATATCTTATATTTATTTTTAGTTTGTCCTTGGACATTAAAAAAGATTGCTATTTAAAAAATAATTAAAATTAAAAAAAAAAAAAAGAGATTGAATTATAAAGGTATATCAAGTACTAATGATGAATCTCTAAATATCGATAAAATCAAATAAAATCTAATTATCCATATAATTCTCCAACTAAATCTTACTGATGGCATTATATATGCAATGAATAATTATTATAAGACTGAGTCTCTTGTCCCTTCTTTCTTTTCTCCTATTATATTGCACGTTGATTCATTAAGTTGTACTAAAAATAAGTTGATTCATTAACTAAATAATAAAGCCAACTAACCAGAAAGGAAGGGTCCTCTCGCGATTTAACAAAACCCTTCCAAGTTTCTTCATCAATATAAGGGTAATCATCAGTGGGAGACACTACACTCTTAATTCCATTATTTAAATATCTACTTGTTAAGTTGTTTTTAAAGGACCTCCAATGCTCACCCGCATATACCATCGTTTTCTTATCAACAACATCATTTTTAGAAATGTCCCATATTTGCTATGTTACACAACAAATAAAAGAGTTAGTACATATCAAAATATTAAAGTTATGTATAATTGTGACAAATGCAATTAAAATTACCTCAAGTCCTTTCCAAATTTCTTTCCTGTCTTCACTACCAACCTTATCACATTCATCAATCAGAATACTGATTTTCTCTCGAGTGAGACAAGCAACATGATACTTGAAATCTTTTGCAAGTTCCCCTATAGGATGTCCATCTGAATTGAAATCAATTGGTATTCTCTCATCCCGTGCAGTCAAAAGTTGCAACTTTTTCATCCTGGTGCAACCTCTTCCTTTTGTTTTGGTTGATAGAGTATTCAACCCACTTTGCGAAGGAGCTGATGCATCACCCATGTCTCTGTTTAGAGAAAAAAAACATAATAATTCAAGCTCAATAATATGAAATTATATGACAAAAATACTGTACATGAGACAATAAAAAAATACTTAAAATCTACATATTTAGATAAAAATTCACCATTTCTTAACTAATTGTGTATTGTTTGAATATTTTCCCATATCCCTTCTTGATGATCTTCACGAGTGGCATACACCTCGTCACCAATAGTATCTTCAACTAAAGTTGGCACCCGTTGAGAAAAATAAGGAGTCTCATAAATATCTAGCGTTGCATGCTCACTATCATTAGGGTTGTGGTTGCTTTTACCTTGGAGAACCACTGACCATTTTTTGTTAGAAGGGTCCCTAACATAAAACACTTGTTTTTCTTGAGATGCCATAATAAAAGGTTCATCCATATAGGCTACCTTTTCAAGGTCCACCAATGTAAAACCAAATTCATCAGTCTTAACACTATTTTTTGTGTCAACCCATTTACATTTAAAACGAAGCATAAAACAATGAAATACCTGCCTCCAAAAACACTATCAGAAACACAGTAATGATCTTACATATTAGAAAAATCATTTCCACAGGAAAAGCATGTACTTTAAATGTCTTGCATGGGTAATACAGCCAAATATTATTGATGATTGTTAAACTTCTAAGAAAAGATATTAGCAATAACAACAGCAAACAGTATTACCTTTACTGCAGAAGACCACTTATATTGTTGCCCAAGTGTTTCATACAATGAAACTAACTGATCTATTTGATCAGCAGAGTAATTCCTATCTTCTAAATACAAACCAACACACTTTTGGAGACCCTCATAGTAACTGATTGATAACATGAAACAAGAACAAATGTTTAACATCTACGAGTATAGCTAATTAAAATAAGTATGTCATAAAATATTCAAATACAAAATAAATAGTTTATCCCTTTACCAATGAGCGCCAAAAAAAAAAGGAAACTGCAATAAAATTATCCCTTTATCAATTCAATGAAAAATAAATAAACCAATTTCTCTGAAAAAGTAGACAAGATGAGCTTTATCCTAATCTATCTTTAAGCACAACCCACACTTCCACTTGTAAGAAATCAAGTAAACAACGAATACACAAAATCACAGGTACACGGTAAAGTTCTCGGGTATATCAACTAAATATTTAGTAGTTTGATGTTTTTGATGTTTGTCTGGAGATCTGTGTTTTGGCTGCTTAATAAGTTCTTCTATCTTAAGTTTCTAATTAGATTTACAATTTCAGCTTCTGATTATGGAAGAAAATTCTAAAAGGAATGCCTTGATTGTTTCTCATATACACATGGGGTAATGCAGATTTCAATTATTTTTCTAACTCCATTGGATTGGAGCAGACTGAAACAAACTGAATTCAAACACATTCAATTTTGTTAGGTATTGTAAGAGATGAATATCAATGGGTGAGTGAGTGAATCAGAGATTCATTTATAATATTAATGCTCTGGCTATATTTAAGGGCCAGTCAAATCCTAGGCAGCAGTTAGAAACACTATCCAAACTATACCAGTTAGAAACACTATCAAAACTCAAGCAGCAGAATAGAGGAAAAACTATACCAGTTAGAAAACCTATCCAAACTAAAATTCAAATCAATTCCATCTTCAATTTAACAACAATATTTCATCAATACTCCATCAAACATTCAAAGAAACTGAACTACCATACATGAATAATCATGAAAACATACCTAATCTGCAAAGTTCAAAGCCTTTGCTAGTATCACCAATACCTCCAACAATGTTTCCACAAGTACCTGCTTCAAATTTGAAAACATGAAATACTCTTTACAATGTATTCATTGAAAATTCAAAATCTAACATTTCAAAACGCATAGAGAAGAGAGAACCTGAAGAAAGTGAGTATGGTGACAGTGGCGATTGGTGAAAGATTGAGAGAATGGTCAAATCTGAAAACGAAAGTTGTGGTGAAAGATTGAGAGAACAAGAAGTTGTGGTGAAAATTTTTGCGGTATCAAAAACTTAGAGAAGAAAGTTGCGCGCAGAAAGAGAAAGAGAAATAGAAAGAGAAAGAAAAAGGTCACTGTGTTATCAGAAATTATTTTAATTAAAATTTATTAACTAAGTATTAAATAATGTTTATTTCACTAGAATGTATTAGGTAAGAATCGAACCGGATTCTTGTAAAACCTTCTTAGGTGGTAATAAACACCTGACTTAATAAATAAATTTCTTAAGTCGGGTTATTGATGAACTGACTTAAAAGAACCGACTTAAGAAATTTAACGAAAATTATATTTTTTATTTATTTAATCTTTGTAGGTCGGTTAAACATAGACCTGGCATAACAAAGTTTCAAATATTTACGGATTTGCCACCATATGGTTTCTTAAGTCGGGTTATTGATGAACTGACTTAAAAACATCTGCTAAGAAAGTATTTTTCCACTAGTGACAACTGATCAAGACTTTTAATGCTCTAGCATATAGCAGGAGACTTACTTGGCTTTAGCTTCTCATCAAGAGACTATGATGCTCAAGCAAATAGGAAGAGACTTTATCTAAACTACTAAATAACATGTTTAGAATAATAAAGAACAAGGTTACTTGATACAAAATCAGAGGTATAGGGTAATCACCATATCAAAGACCTTAAACACTTAAGATTTCTAAGATATTCAATATTTAGTAAATCTTAAGGCTTTGTACAATTTACAACATATAATAGAATTTCTGCATACTTGATTGTGGTGCTTGTTGTTGATCTTGTTATTCCTCCATCCAGATAGCTCTTATCCTTCTTGGCTTTCCTTCTCTATTTGCTCCTTGTTCATTATTGAAGATGTAGTTTGAATCTTCAGCAACTTATATAGCAGTAGTAGAAGACTAACCGTTTAAAGAGATAACATGAATAAGTGTCTTTGTTTTTCCATAGTACAAGAAACGTTGAAGATAGATACACCAAAAGATCTTAATCTATTATATAACCTGTTTAACCATTGCGTCTTCCATGTAATCTTGTACTATAGATCTGGTGAGAGTAAATATTTGTAAAACATGTCAACTTTTCTTGAGCCTTGTGAACATAGACTCTAGTTGACAAACTGATTTGACAATGCAGCTTGCTTTCTGCAGTACGGATAACTTAAACTTTATTACTAACTCTGAATGTTCACCAGAAGCTGATACATTAACTTAGTGTAGAGACAATATGTTTCTCTTCTTATGCTGAAGCCTTCAGCTTCAGAGTCTACGTCAAACATCACATAGAGAGTTTTCATCAGATTGAAACACACATTAGATAACACAATTGTTCTTTCAATACTTGTTTATCATCAAAATTCAACGGATATATGTCATGAACGAATTTTGTTCTAACATTTACTTTACTATTATTCATATATTATTATCCAGTTACTGTTACTTCTATATTATTTTTATACTCAATATGTTTAGTTTATTTAGTATAGAGTTTAATAACCGTAACATTTACGTAACTGATATGTCCGACTAATTTATCAGAGCCCAGAGTATGAGGACCATTGTTTTGATAGTGCTCTTATTTAAGTCGTAAATTAAATAATAAAAAAGAGATTTGTTTAAGGATTGATTTTTAAACTTTTTTTAATTAAAATAGTTACTGCGAAAGCGTAATTCAGAGATACTAGTTTAGTTTCGAAAGAACAAAACCTGTATCTGACTTAGGTTAAAATTCATATTTTAAATTAATTGAAATGCGAAAGAAATATTTTCTTTAAATTGTAAAAATAAATGTCTTCAAAAATTGATTTTAAGATTATAATCAGACACACGAAAGTAGACGTTTATTAACTTAAAACTCGATGTTACACGAACGAAAGTCGATAACATCTTTAAACTTATTTTTCACCTTAAACAACTTTTTAATTAATCAAAAATATAATTTTTAAAAAAAAAAAAGTTTTACGCTTTAACATGCTGAACATGCAAAAACGACAGTATAACTTTTAGACCAAAACTTGATTTTGGCTGCGCAAAAGGCAAATGGTTCAAAAATTAAGTTTAGTGTGCTATAGATATATTGAAATACATAATTAACTTTTTTATGATGAATTTTTATTATATAAATGTTACATATATATAGTTTTGGAGAAAATACTAACTTTTTAAATTTTGTGGAAGTTTATCCATATGAGATAGACTTTTTGTCGTTTTTCCGTGCAAATAAAGGAGAGTGAACAAAATTAATTAAATTTTAGAATATTAATTATTTTAAAAATAAAATCTAAATAGACATTAATTATTGGCGAGTAAGTTTATCAATGTAAAATGTTGTTAAAGAAAAATAAAGCATTATTCAAGATATGAGTGTCAAAATTTCCAGATAAATAGTGTAAAATATCTTATATTTATTTTTAGTTTGTCCTTGGACATACAAAAAGATTGCTATTTAAATATATTTATTAAATATTTGAATTTATAAATAATTTAAAATAATAAATTAAAATTATTCAGTTGTAAAAAGATTTATTAATATTTAAAGACTTATTTTTTAAATGACCTTTGCACTTGTTTGTGACAATTTTTAAAACAAAAAAAATTTAAAAATTTCATTTTTTTTTGTTATAAAATTTAAGAGGTTTAAAAAAAAATCAAATGAGAAGTTAGTCAAAACAACTTCTCATAAAATCAAATATGGATATAATTCCATATAATTCTCCAACTAAATCTCCAACTAATTATCCATATAATTCTCCAACGAAATGTTACTGATTGCACTTGAATTTTAAAGTTATATCATGAATCCCTAATATGGATAAGATCAAATAAAATCTAATTATCCATATAATTCTCCAACTAAATCTTAGTGATGGCATTATATATGCAATGAATAATTTTGTTTATAGTCATCTTTCCAAACATTACTAATTTTCTCATCTTTTACTGCACGATGATGTCTGCTTCAACATCAACGTCACATAACACAAACCCTTTGAACACAGAACCTCGTAAGAGACTTATCGTCAAGCTCAG